ACCATCCACCATTACCACACTGTACTACGCCATACAAACTGCAAGTCCAAGGCGGTTGATCCTCTCTTCTAGGATCCGTCCTCATCCAGTCACCCGAACATCGCAGAGACAGAGGGTTCAGCAACTGCCACCAATCCAGCGTGCGAATGTCGGTCCATCCACTGTGACCTTAACTCGACATCTTATCACCTGCTATAATTTCACGCTGCTGACAATGTTTCCCCAAGTATAAATTGACATCTCGTATACCGGTTAATATCTCACTTGCACTTCAAAACGGGGAGTTGTGGGAATTGAACCCACGACCTCTCGCACCCTAAGCGAGAATCATACCACTAGACCAAACTCCCGAAAAGTTGCAATTATAGTTTTGCAAATATAATATTAAACCTAGCTAGGGACCACCAAAAGCAACCCGAGAATCAGTTGGTTAAGTCCACAACGTCCAATTAGCTGGGCCCGGGACAGGGGCTCAAGGGGCGCCGGGACCATCGTCCCATCACCCCCCGAACCTCCCTTCAATAAAACCCGTTATCACCTCTCTCACCCTCCCCCCTCTGGGGCCCAGTAGTAGTTTGTGGCTTTAATACCACAATCTCCCCTAGCTGACTCCATATGCCTCTTCCTGGCCTCTCGCCGGCCAATCCTCCCCTCCACCTTCCCACCTTCCACCTCCCTCCCCTTCACCTCCACCTCTATTTCCCTCAACCGCTAAGGCCATCTCAACCGCAATGCCCGCTATCTGGAGGCTTGTCCTTCCCCTTTCCCGCTTTTTGCCAACACATGACATCTGCCCGTGTGTGTCGGTATGTCGGTATGTCTGTTTGTGTGCGTGTATGTGTGTGTGTGTGTTCTGCCCACAGGCGAGATGGCTGTGGGGCTTTGCCAGGTCATGCTGATGGTGGGCGGTGGTGCGGGGTGGGGGGGGCGGGGCGGTGGTGCAGGGCGGTGGTGAGGGGTGGGGGATCCGGGGCGAGTGATGGCCTGGTGGGGTTAAGGGCATTTCCACGTACAAGTGTGTGCGTGTATGTGGATTGAAACCCTTCTTGCCACTTGCCGGGTTCATCCTCCATATAAGCCCCCTGCCGTTCCCCCGTTCCTGTCTCCCTTCGGCCGCCTAACTGGACGGTTATAACAACTAACTGTAACAGGACGAGGTAACCAACGGCTTGGATGCGGCGGCGGCACTGGCCATTGTACGATCGCTCCGGAACATGTGCGAACTCGCCAACGTGAGTTCAGTTTAGTAAGTCCCGCGCCCACACCACACCACACCACACCACACCACGCCAAGGTGGCGCTCCTGTCCATTGAAGTCCCTGAACTGCTGGGTGAGGCTCGGGGTGTCGCAAAGGGTACAAGCTACTCTTAACATTACCTCCTTTCTTCTACTCCCCACTCCGCTCCGGCCTTCCCCTCGTCAACGAACCCTTCCCACGGCTCCCCCCTCCCCACCCTCCCGCGCCCCACCCCCCACCCCAAGGTAACCTTGCTGGCCACATTACTTCAACCCTCCCCAGATGTGGTGGATTGCTTTCATGACGTCATGCTGCTGTCCGCCAGTAAACTGCTGTACCACGGGCCCAAGGAAGAGTTGCTGCCGTACTTCAGGTCCATGGGACTCGGCCCCCTGCCGGGGCAGTCGTTGGCTGACTTCGTGCAAGTGAGTTAAGTGGGGTTGGGTGCGGGTGCGGGTGCGGGATAGGCTGGGGGTAGTGGGTTTGGGGTTTTTGAGTTTCGGAGTGGGGTTAAGGAGGCGAGAATGGGGGTGTGGGATGGGAAATGTCATGTCGGGTCGGCCTTCCGCCGTCTGCGTGCGGTGTGACGGTGGCAGTGCTGTGACCCATGGGTCATTGTTTTAAAGTGTGCGTTGCATTCTCTCACAGTTTCTGTACCCTGCCTGTCCGTCTCATATCCCCTTCCCCGCCCCCAGGAGGTGTTGGCGAGCCCCCAGGACCAGGTCAAATACCGCGTGGCCCGGTCCACAGTGCCGCCCTCGCTGCCGCCCCCTCCACCCCCCATGTGGGCGGGTCGCAAGTGGGTTTCACCCAGACGAATGCGCAAAGTGAGCGGGGAATTGCGTGTGTTTCAAGTGGTGCGTGTGTATGTATGTATGCGGGAGGTAGACACGTTTCGTGCGAGTGTGGGGTGGTTTAGTCGTGGGGATGTACGGCAGGGTGCGCGGATTCCGCCAGGTCCCAGCCGAAAGCGCTTCAGGACATGGATGGTTAGGGTTATGATCACGGTTACGGTTACGGTTACGGTTACGGTTAGGGGGTATAAAGGAAGCCATTTCACAAGGAGCTGCGTCGCACTCGAAAAATGCAGGCTGCCCCAACGTACACGCGGGCATGACATAATGTACATATATACCAGTCGACCCGGGTTCAAATCCGCCTGCCGGCTCCTCGGGTGTTTGAGGAGTGATGAAATGGGAGGTGGCCCCCCATCTTATGGACGGTGTAGGACGTGATAATATCAACTTGCGAGCTGACCAGGAACTAAGTTGATGCGCCGTTGATCCGCTAGATTTGGTTGGATGCTGGTGGTGAGTTGCCGAACCCAACGAATACATTCTGAAGTCGGATGGGGTGACGGATTAGGGTGCCCCTCTAGCAGGGGAGAGCAGGGACTGCCCCGGGAAAGGGGGCCGCTGGCGAAGTTAACCACCCTGTAACAACATACATATATACATATGTATGTACTATACATATACATGTATAGTATACACATATACAGCATATAATAAATATATTATATTATATTATGATGAATTTGTACATGATGTACATTATTATATTATATTGGCAAACGATGGATAAGTGCATGTACGTGTGTGTATGTTTGCAGGTTTTTGAGGCGAGCGATGTGGGCCGCGAGATGGCGGCTCGACTCGCGGAGCCGCCGTACACCCACCCTCTTCAGGAGCTGGCATTGCGCAAGGAGCGATACGGCACTAGTACGGCAAAGATGTGGTTGGCGGTGCTGCGACGTGAAGCAATCTTATC